GGGTCAGCAATGACTGAGCGCAGACAACAACAACAACAAAAAAACTGCATTGTGAGCACTGATTACTTAGTTATTGAATAAATGTAAAAATGAATGCATTCTGCCTACTTTTGAATAGCTCAGTATCAATTAAAAAAAAAACACTAGAAAATCATGCTTCCACTATGGAGCAGCATAATCACGGGGTCACAGGGGCAGCTGAAGAATAGGGAGGGGATGTCTAAATCCACAGTTTACTCAATATGGGTTAGATTTAGTAAAGAATTAAATGTTTCTTTTGAGAGACAGCAACACTGGACTTTTCCTCCTTCACTGTGTAACACAGACTCACGTATTGAAAGTTATCTGGGGATATACCCTGGAACTTGCCCATCATCCAAAAGACAAATTTCTTGCATTTTCACATTGAAAGCAGAACAAATCTGAGATCAATTTCATTTCTTTTTTGGGTCCCAAAAGAACTAAGATAGCATCCTAACTGAATATCAAGTGACTTAAGCATCTAGACAAGATTCATTTCAACACTGAACACTGACTGACTTTCCCAAAACTTTCTGAAGCCCATCTTCATATTTCTGCATGGAAAAAGTAGAAGCATAGAAGCACAGATAATGTCTTTGTAATCACAAAACAACTTTGTCAATACCAGCCACTGGCATGCAATGAAATGTTACCACCCAAACTATTTAACAAAATACTAGTGGTTCTGAAAGCGCATCTAAGGGCACTGCAAATCTTTATTATCCATATTTAGACAGCATCCCAGGAAGACTTACAAAATCTCAGTGGATAGACAAGATCTGACCTGAAGAATTACCATGAATTTATATTTTAACAAGAGTTTGTTCTTTTTTGGTAAACAGATCATCAAGGTGTAATTTTAAAGAAAAATGTTACAGGATGTATGTCATTCAGCTGACATCAGGAGAACATATTGTTATATTAATACTTTGCATAAAGTGAACAATTCCACTCCTGCCTCTACAGAGGTTCCTTTGCCATTTCAGAATTTGAGAGCATCATTAAAATGTTCAGGCGAGCTAATACATGTGGCTAAAACTAACAAGATTAGCAGGTCCATACAGAGCTTATTTGGTTGAAATAATCAAGGTCTTTGAAGAGGAAATCACTGGAGTTTGGGGCAAGAAGCTGGCTCTTTCAGCTTCAAGTGGGATTGGACAAAGACCTTAGTCCCACCACAATAAACAGGCAAGCAGTCACATTCTCAGCAACAATCGAAAGGATTTTGTATCAGCCCTGCTATGCCCATGATTTGCAGTAATTCGCAGATTCTCTATATGAAGTTTAAATTGAGCTCTTATTCCTTTCCCCTCCCCCACCCTTAGAATCTATAGTGTTGAGGTGAAGAAATGCTCTCTGTTAGCCTCAGAGGACAGAAAATCACATTAATGAAATTTCTATTCTTCCTCCTGTGTGTGATTCTAAGTGAATAATAATAATTTATTAAATTTACCTGCTCCATAACTCCCAGCAACTCTGGGCAGTTTACAAATTGCTAAAAACATTTAAAAACAGGGAACAATACCAAAACACAAAAACACAAAACAAAAGAACAGAGATAGCAGAAAAAAACAAACCCAGATGGGAACAAGGAAAGGAAGTCAATCATCCTCACCAAAGGCCTGGATGAAGAGCCACATCTTCAGGGCCCTTCAAAGTATCAACAGGGTGGGGGCTGTTCAAATCTTGGGGGGAACTACATTCAAGAGAGCAGGCGCTGCTACAGAAACTATGCACTTCTGGGATCCCAATAGATGGCATTGTTTAATCAATGGAACCAGGAGCACACCAACTCTGTCAGATCAAAGTGGCCAGGCAGATACTATGGGAAACAGGTGGTTGCTCAAGTAAGCAGGCCCGATGCCATGTAAGGCTTTATAGGTAGCAACCGGCACCTTGAATCACACCTGGAAGCAAACAACCAGTACAGCTTGAGAAAGAGGTGTTGCATGGGCATACTGAGGCATGCCCATCACTGTCTGAGCCACTGCATTCTGGACCAGCTGAAGCTTCTGTGTGGTCTTCAAGGGCAGCCCATGTAGAGCACACTGCAGTAGTCAAGCCATGCGGTGACCAGGGCATGAGTGAAGGGCCCCCCAATCTAGCAAAGTGTGCAACTGGCACACTGGATGAAGCTGGGCAAAGGTCTTGTGAGGGAGTGAAGTTGGGGTTGCTGCCTATGCTTGGGAAAAGTAGCTGCAGCCAGGCAGAAATGCTTCTCACTCCATTTCCCTCATACATTAATTTCCCTAACTCAACCTTTACTCACAAGCATCCAAGCTAGTGTTCCAGCTA